AGCCTGTTGGGTGGTTGTAGAACCCTACGAAGGTGCTATACATATTCAGGCCGTCTACCGTGTTAAGTTTGAACAGACAGTTTGTAGATTTCCATGTTACACGAGTAAAGTTGTGCGTTTGGAGATTATATCTGAAGCTCTTTTAGCTTTTAGGAATATGCAATAGATTCCACGGAGTTGTAAAACATGTAATGACAAAAAGGAGAATATTATGCAGGTTTCATTTGCAGTCCCAAGATTTAGAATTGTTTTTGTATCATTGACTTTATGCAATGAATAGTTTATTTGTCTCCTCCTAAGTCTGGTTTAAGCTAATTTTAAAAGCCCAGGGGCCTCGTTCATCAAGCTCGCTAACACACAAAACGGGGTCGGAAAACTGCGTAAGCAACTTTCCACGCAAACTTTGGGATTTATGAAAGAAAACTTAGCGGAAAAATGTGCGCAACTTTAAGTTGACTAAGGACCTGGCTTACTCACGTGCTGGACGTGGAGAGCACCTGCAGTGCTGCTGCTGAGGAGGATACAATTATGAAATCCTGCAGCATTATCATTGTACCGCTTCGTTTTCACACAGAACAAGACCCCCCACACGCACGCACGTGCACGCACACACACACACAGTACTTTTTTTTTTTTTGCTGAGCTTAAGTACGGTTTTTGTAGGGATTCTACGCAATGTTTGATAAATGAGACCCCAGCAACGCATGCACAGAAACAGACCACTCGTTACTAATGTGATGGAAACTCTCTTGCAAATAGCGCTCTCAACAGTTGCAGCCCTGTAAGATACTGGCTTTATTCAAGAGCATAACAATGTTTTAGTGCTTCTGTAACTAATAGAAAGTGAACACACTCAACACTCTCAAGCAGAAACAACGTCTCCCCATGTGCCAAAGTGTATCCCATTATCACGCACACATTCACACCTTTCCCTCTATAGACTTCTCCTTGTTGGTCCCTCTACTCACACAGTGGAATCACACCCTGCAGACAGACTGGAGGGAACATTATTCATCAGGATCAGAATAAGACCTTAAGCCTTCTTTCACTTTAGTCGGGCACTAATGAGGACACCTAATAACCTTCTGTTGGACCCCATCAGCGCCGTTTAGCTTCACCTTCCATTATCTCTGGTAATTGGACTTGAGAGTAGCAGGCCCTCAGGACTAAAATGGGGAGACAGCCCCCTGATGAGACAATTTGAGTCCTACCAATGTTATGAAGATCTGTGAAAGCAGACTTTACATTTTAGAGTAGTTCCTGTTAAAGAAGTGGCAGTTAACGAGCTGTCGAGGAATATTGGCCGGATCCCGGAGCTCAGAGACGGTTTGCACCGCGTTGGGAATTCACAGACTCACATAATTGTCAAGATGAATCGTAAGCTTGGGACTTTGGTTGAGTTTCATTCATTGGCACAAAGATGGATGACATCAAGGAGAGAGTGGACGAATCAGCACGGATTGGGATAGATTAATGTCCATTATTGGGATTGTGAGAGGTTGAGGACCAACAAACTGTAAGACAGAGAGGAAATTATCTCTGTCTGGCCCCAAAACAATTTTTAATCGGAATCTGGCGCCCTTGAGCCTGCAAGGCTACAACGAAAACTCCCCCCCCAGAAGATATGTGGAATGTGCTGTCGCTATGGCAACTCAACTCTGTCTCCTATCCCAGCCTGGGCGGGACAGCGGGAAGGCCGCTGAAATGTTCCAGGGTCACTGCAACCCTCCAACCCTCAATGCTCCTCCCCCATCCACACTGAGGTGACATGCGCTGCTTATCGTGGCTGCAGGAACTGAAGTGGGGATAGTCCCAACCCACCACCCCACCTAGTGGACACTTATGTTGTGTTGTCTGAAGTCTGTTGCATATATGTTTGAGGTGTTTTTTTGCAGAGCAAAGCTGCCCTCCCGGTGGAGGGTAACTCTGAAGTGCCTTTTTTTTCCCTCCACCTGAACCAATCCTCATGTAACCCTCTTATCTCTATTAAGGTAGCGCGACTCAGGGTTGTGAATGACCACAGTCACCAACTCTTGTCATGTGTCTTGCCCATGTATGTCTGATCTCTGAATTGTGTGTACTGAAACTCTAATTTCCCTCTGGAATTAATAAAGTATCTTTGAATTTTGATTTGAACCCTAAATAGTTGGGTTATAGGAGAAATACGTAAAAATACAGAGCTAACATGATGACTGTATATATTTTAGTTTATTTCTATTTAAACTATAAAAGTGCCAATAAGAAGACCATGAAGTTTAAAAGAAAGCTTTTTGTCTGATGACAGCGCTCGTCAACAAATGCTGCACTTTATGCAATTCTGTGTACAGAACACAAACATTTATTACATTTATCTAAATCATATATTTAATATAAACATCTTTGTTTATGAAGTATGATTACTTACAATGTGCAAAACTTACCAGTAAAACAGTATTATATACATATTATCATCATCATCATCCTCATCAATTTATTTATAAAGCATCTTCATGCTACCACTCAGTGTTCAAAGTGCTGAACACTAAAAACAAGCATGAAGCACATTAATGAATAAAAGTTGACTAAAACCAGTTATAACCCAGTCAAACCAGTATATAAAGTACTAAACCTCATTTTAAAGAAGTTAGACTTGTTGTGGGGATCTGAAACCCGTCTCAGTTTAGTTTCTGAAAGTAAAAATTGATTTTGTGCACACATGTAGGTCTCTTTTGTCTCATAAACACTCCAAATGGTCTGCTGTTTAACTCTTTGGGCGCCAAAGTTTTTTCAAGAAAATATTCAATTTTGACATGACTTTTTCAAAAGGTTGTAGCTTGGAAATGGTTAGAGATAAAGGTGAACTGTAAATGAAATAAATCTTCAGTAGGACCCAAAGTTTGTGTTGGGAGCTAATTCACTCATCAAACTTGCATATTATGATGTCATCAGGCTGCAGCATTGGAATTCATCATTTTTACAGACGTTCCGTCTTTTTTTTACATGTTATCTATTATATTTAGAATTTTTAAATTAATATATACATTTATAAAGCCCTAATTTAATTTGACTTAAATATTTTTAGTTATTTTTTTCAATTATGTGGCACACTTTGACTTCCACACATAAAGCATTAGCATCTGCTGCTTTTTACAGCTTTTTCTTCTTGCATTGCCACTACGTCTGCCGCATTAGCTGTGTTTCTACCATCGTTTCTACATCCATGACGTCCCAAACACGGCAAAACCAACGTCAAACCCAATGTTTGGAGCTTGCAAGTGCAGCACCAGCTGCCGGATGCTGCGTGCTGCGGCAGAGTCAAATTTTACAGCCGGACGAGTGAATTTCTCCATCAATAGAGCCAATATCCTGCTTCATAATTGGAGTTAGTCATGAGCCATGACCAGACAAAGAGATCAGTCAGCAAAGACAGACCTGCCAGCAATTGTAAGTTTTATCCCTCTAATATTTGCCCTCTTCATACTGCGCTTATCTCCTCGTCTCCTCGACCGGCGTTTTTCAAACTCCAAAACTTTCAACACACCCATAAGTGTTGCTCAGCCTGAAGTTACACATCTCCATTAGCTTCTGGTAAAGCAGTAACTTCTTGAGGGATCATATTTGTAGACGTGGCACATTAAAGTCAGTAATGACGCTTGTCGCAATATTGCACCTTTGGCACTTAAATGGTTAAAGTCCCCATTTGTGATGTAACAAACGGAGAAACTAGCATAGAACCGTCTATCGTACAAAAGTGAGCTGCTTCTGGAGGAGCACTAGCTCTACTCTGAGCCCCTCCCAGATATTGGAATGTCTCAGCTTAGAGGAGCCTGAGTGGGGATAAGTGGGCGTGGCCAGCTCCAGCTTTTATGCTTGACGTGTCCGCGAGGTTCGCACGGCTCCGCGTTGCAAAATTGCGTCATTTTAACAGCCCCGCACCTCCGCACGGCCCAAACTTTCCGCACCGCGCACGTAGGAAATTTTCTAACCACGCGGACGGTCGGACGCGGAAAGACATGGCGGGCTGGCAAGAACTAGTATGGCGGAGGTTCGTAAATACAGACATTTGTATGATTCAGCTCTCAAAGATCACCGTGATCAACATGTTGTTAATAATTCTTGGAGAGAAATAGCTCGCACTGTCGGAAAAGATGAGGACGCTGTTAAAAAATGCTGGAATGCCATGTTGTAAACAACAGTAATTTTTACTTCTACTATGGTGTAGTGTTGGATGCATGCCGTAGAGCTCCATGCTGCCCCCTACAGTTTGGGAGAATATTGGCTCACCGCAGAGACGAGCCGCATGAACCATAAACGCTGCGAGTTGTGAAGCGCGTTCCATCCGCGAGCCGCATCACCAAGCGGAAAGTGAATGCGTCAAGCATAAACCAAGCTTAAAGCTGCTGAAATCACTTTGAGCAAAAAGATCCTTGGAAACATGTTTTATATAGAACTATTATACCTTAAGAAAAATGTCATAATTTACTTTAAACAAATGAAGTTGGACTTAATGCTCAGTTTAATCTTGATAAAGACCTGTCCATTTATATAACCAGTTTTGTAAAAGTCCAGTGTGTACCATTTTAGTGTGATCCTAAATAAGGCGTGTAGTGTCTGCTATGCATATATTTTATTTTAATTTTAAAAGTTTCTCTGGGAATTAAATGATCTAACCTCAGGAAGAACTGGAAAGCTCACCCCTGGAAAATTGGCAGCAATAATGTTTTCATTCTGTGAGTTCACCAAGTGAAATGATTGAGTCTACACAGTTTGGAAATGGCTTTATAAGCAGTATAGTGATGTTGTTTCTCCTTGGCATTGATCTAACACACACACCTATGCTCCAGATCAGCAGCTTGCTGGGACTTGTTTTTTATGGTGATACTTAAGAGTTGCTGATATACTGTTTTCCTTCAGATTCAGATGCGTTTCTTCAAACTCTCAATTGTATTCTTGCAATGTGAATTTCTGGCTTAAAGGTTTATCACCTTTGTTGTGACGCAAAAATAACAGAGAATCTGCTGTACAGTCATCAAAGCAAGGTATTTCTGTTTTATTGTAGTATTCATAGTTGCTCAGACATGTGTATATACAAATACGGATCATTTTCCTCTCAAATGTTCTCATTTATATACTGTAAAAGAGCCGGTTGGAAACGTTCCCCACCGATGGAAAAGTCAGAGTGGGGGGTTTGAAGGTGAAAGAGGAACAGCAGAAGAGGGGGGGGGGGTTGTACAAGCTCAAGGAGAATGAGGCAAGATGGTGAATGAACAAGTGTTTCATCAGCAACAGGAGAGTTGGAGAAACTTTGCCCATGTGCACAGAACCTGGATCGATGATGGGCTTTGCCCCCCCGCTAACAATCCAGTTCAGGATTTGATGGAGGGGGTGCAGTAATCCTTGAACTGTGCCCTGGGCTGCTGTCTGTCGTAAGAAAGGGTGGTTGGGAGTTGTTTAAAAAAGAGAGAGAGAGAGGAAGAGGAGAGCCCTGTTGTAGTCTCTTCGATGCCAGCAGCTGCTCCATGTTAAAGCACAATGGCAGAAAGCGTCTTGAACACAGACAGGGCTGCCGGGGCAGAGGCTGAAGGGCTAAGGCATGGGAAACACTCTTCGCTGCCAAAGAGGGTTGCTGCCTCCCGTTTACTACAGCAACAGCAAATGAGACACGCACACACTCAAACCTATAGGGCCTACACTTTTTTTTCTTCACACTGAAAAATGCCCACAATGACGCATCTTCTCACAGACTCCTCCTCACGGGAGCCCTGGAGGAGAGCGAATAAGCTGCAGAGACTGGGGGGTGAATACCATAGATGGGTAAAGAGACGGCCATTTTAGGAAAATAAAAGTAAAAGTTGCTTTTGACCCACAAAAATGACCAACCACACTGCAACACCACAACAATGGCTTGTGTTATTTACATTTGTGGGAACAAAGTCTGACGCCACTCCAATGGGGATGCAAAAAAAAAAAAAACACACAAACATGACAGCGATCCTTAAATCTAATACCTCGAAAAGAAAATAAACCGGAGAAATTAAAACTTTTGATCTTCTTTTATACATGTTTTAAAGTTCATGCGCATGCCACATAATGAAACTGGTGAGATCCTTCCAATAAAAAAAAAAAGCCAACAGTTCTTTTTCAACATGCTTCGAAAATCCAAAATAGGCAAAATAAAATAAAAGTACAAATAGGCAATCGATTAAGTCCCAGATGCTTCTGTCCGAGGCAGGATCCTCATGTGAAGAGATGAAGGTCGTTTTGAAGCATGTAAGAGGTGAGCCTCTCGTTGGCTACTGTCCAGCCGTCCGTACGCCGATGCGCACGGCTCCCGCGGGTTCCCCCTTTGTGGTTACAAAGTCTCTTTAGGCATTGAGGATTAAAGCACACAATGCATTGTTTTAGAACAGTACACACTCCGCAAAACCCAGAGATATTATGGTTTTCAGTTTTTTTTTAGAAAAGACATAAGAACCAAATTAATACTTTAATATCAAACACTATTTACATCAAGTTCTTCTAATAATAATAGTCATAATCATTATCATCATAACAATAATAATAATTATACAGGTTTAACAATGAATGAACTTTTTTTTTTGTCCTCCAGAAAGGTACAAAACAGATACTAACCTAACACTACATGTTTTATGGTTGTCTACCTCAGGATACACAGTATCCAGTATTTAAGTTGATCCTCATTTCCCAGGTTAAGGTGTGTGCAGTACAAACCGTGGTGATGATAGCAATAATAACAAATAGCATTGATTATTGTAAGAAAGTACAGTTGAAGCTGGTTTCTGAGAGAAGTCTCGTGCTAATCTGCTGACGGGCGTTCGTTTTCGACTCTTACGCAGTGCTCATTTCCCCGTGGTGATGCTCGGAAAATTAGTGCCTCATTAAACGGTCTCGTCTCCTATTACCTCGCATAGCCGAGCTACCATTCTGCTGTAATGGCGTTGTTACCCAAGTACAAAAAATGGCCAAAGGCAAAATCTGTTATTTTGCATTAAAAAAATTACAGCAGAAAGAAAAGGCAGCCGCAAAAACCAAGTAGAAGCAGAACAGTGCCTTTGAGGCTGAGTGGTACGAAGCAGCAGGTTTGTTGCTAAATGACCGTTTTCAGTTGTGTTGCGTGGATTTTAAAAACAGCTTTGTCTTGAAAAGTTGCGTTAGGCACAGCTCAGTCTACCTTTAATGTTTAAATCTGTCTTTTTTATCTACGTAACCTGCAAAATCTCTCAAACTGAAAAATCACCGGCGCTTTAAACTCCCCCCACACAGTGGAAATCTACACCCCGCCTCCTGAGACGCCCGCCATCACCGAGTCTTCCACCGTCTATTTTTAATTCCAGAAATAACTCGCCAGGCTACAACATGGGGTCTGCATGCCTGTCGTGTAGAACCTCATTAAAGAGCCACTTAAACCAGTAACACCAGGAGCAGAAGGTGGGCTCCTGTGCTCCTTTTCCTGCTCTACTTCTCTCATTCTGTCCGCCTCTTCTGAATCTCTTGGTGACCCGCCTTCGACTCCCCAGCTCTGACAGGAAGTTACCTTGAGAATGAAGTTTTCTACCTGAAAATATCTCCTTGAAACCAAATTAAAGCCGAAACGCTTTCATTACGCGAACGTACCCCGGCACATAAAACGATGATACGTTTAAATGCCAACAAAAACCTGACCATGCTAAACAGTGCCTACTTTGAATGTTATGAATAGTTTAAACAACATGAACTAAACTAACTGGAGAAAGGCATACATTCAGACAGTAAAAAACATCTAACAGGTATTTAACACAGTTATAAGCTATGATTATGTTAAGATGTAATAAAAAAACATATGGCACTATGATATCTTCCCAAATCTTTGCTCGATTTGTGTCAATTTGCACCTAATCGGATCCTAAACCAAACCGTCTGCATAGTTAAAGACGATGTTTAATGACGCCACCGGTACTGCTCGATTGCTCTGATCCGGTTTTAGTCGTGAAACCATTTTAAGCGCTCATTTTAAGAATCAATAGCCAGGAAATAAATAGCTGTGGATGCAAATGTTTGTGGGAGTGTTAATATTGACTAATGCTCGACTGGAACAGAGAAAACAATTGCTGCCCAGCTCAGTAAACCTTGCATAAACGCCTGCGACTGCTGCCGTGAAATTGGGTTATCGGCTCTCAAAAGGCATGGATTCTGGATCTGAACAGCAGCTAAAGTGTCGGGTGAGAAAGTTTCAACTTTAGTGAGAAGGAGCGAACCAAATCAGGCCAACTGACGTGCCACCTTTGACCTCCGTTCACTCATTCGCCATTTTTGTCTTTCCTTGACTTACAATAGCTTTATGTTTTAGTGAATTTGGACGCTATTTTAAAACCATGAATTGAAAGACCACTTGGCTTTATTGCGTTACGTTGACCGTGCATGCTCGTCAGTGCCGTGGTTTTCTAATTCAACCTCCAGTTTAAAACAATTATTCTTCACGTTCTACAGATTAAACCGCTTTAACCGCGATAAAAGCACAAAATTCCACCTCTGCTCTTGTAAAACTCGATTAAAAACATTGAGATGTCTTGGGACTTGTTCTGTTTGTCTACGCTGTATGTACAGTCACGTCTAGAACCTAGAATCGCCACTATCCCACCGTGTAATACAACTACTCTGTAAAAATCTACTACTATTTTTTAGCGTGTGTAACATTGCAATGTGTGAAGCAGTGGATGTGTGTGTGTGTGCTATACACTAGTTGTTTTCGTAGGTAAACATCAGTGCTGCAAATGACATAAATACAATGAGAAGGGATGTCAAAAATCACGGGGAAATAAGAATCAATGAAAAAATTAAAATGGGATTTGGCATCTTAGTCAAAGGTTAAGAGGGGGAAATATCTTTCCCGATTCCAACGTCAACTTTTTTCGCTCTCAGAAGGAGAAAGACCACTTAAATATTTGTTCTGAAAAAAGTAGAGGGTTTCTTGAGAAGCCTACGTTTATGCCCGATCAAGCAAATGCAATCCACCCAAATCCAACGCCTACCCTGCAGCCTAGGGTAGATCCAGGCCACGCTAGGTGTAAATAACCTCCAGCACAGAGGGAGGCGCTATAAGGTTAACAGTGCTGCTAGGATAACCAGCAAGGAAGCGAGTGGTGGACTTGTCTTCTGCAGGCGCGGGGCAGCGTTTGTTTCACTTCGGGAGGGGGCAGCCGTTTCATGGCTGATTCCATCTAAAAGATAGAAAACAAAGAAAGAAAAAGTCAATTTGTTGTAAATGATTTCTTTTTCATGACCACAAATCTAATGTGCAGACATTTCTGTGATTTCTAGGTTTCGTGATATTGTTTCATTGCTACTGGAACTTCCACATGAAGTGTCTGCTCTCATTGACAAACATTTTGGATTTGTCTCCCAGGTGAGCTGTCTGGCGGCGGCATCCATCAGTATCTGTATCGAGCCATGTGCCCGCAGCACTATGGGTATGTAGCTGAGCCATGCACAACAAAGGAGGATCAAATGTTTCTGTAACTGCACAGCTGTGTGTGTGTGTGTGTCAGTGGGTTTGCATGTGCATTAAGGTATGAAAGGATAGAGTAAGAGCAGATGAAGGATGAATGTTTAAATCCTTCTGCTTTGGTTATACGGAAGCGTGCTCAAGCAGGAAGTGGCAGCAGGCAAACATACACGCAGGAAGTGAAAGCACCCATGCGTCTGATCTACTGTCTCTTTGAGACGGATAACATTCAATAAACCCAACAAACTTTCTTTTTTCTAACTTAAAAATAAAGAATACTAGGATTCCGCTTATAAATAATCAATACACCAATACATCAAGTTCATCCCATGCTTCAGTTAGAATGAGTGACGACGTTAAATCTTAATCTGCGGTTCAGCACGAAATGAACAAGTTAACTGGTGTATTTTAGCTGGAAAGTAAGAGGGGAAAACTCATTCATCTTTCATGCATCAAGGTTAACAAGGTGGCTTGATTTTTTTTAAGTCAGGTTGGTGGCGTGTATACTCATAAAAAGAGCCGCCATAAACAGTGAAACAGAATAAAGATGCACGAAAGATTCTATCAAACACTCAGCAGAGCACAAAACAGACGTTTCAGCACCTCTTCTCCTCATCTGACCATGAAGACTAGTGAAAAAAGCCGTCGGCACGCACCTCTAATGAACAATTTAGGGTTTACGTTGTTTAAAATGGCAAAAACTATCAGATAATTTCAATGATTAGAAAAAGGTAACACTTCAAAATGATGGTCCCCTTGATACTTAGTGAATCATTAAGCATTAATAAACTATAAAATCAAGTATTAACAACTGCCTAACCCTGTTAATTAATGCTTTACTAAGCAGACCCCCCTCCCCCCCAACCTGTTTGTCTTAAAATTAAGACACGTAATAGTTAACAATAACTGTAGGGTAATAAAGGGACCCTTTGTTTATTAATGCTTAATAATGCACTAAGTAGCATTAATAAAGGGACTGTTATTGTAAAATAAAACTGATGATTGAGCTTTTTTAAATTAAAGCGAGACTAGGCAGTTTAGGCTTGCTTTTAGCGCCCCCTTGTGTCAGTTTAGTAGAACCAAAAGAAAAAACTTCTCTGTGCACTCATCTTTTGAACACCGTAATCTAACAGCTAAAATGTCTCCTCAGCCTTCCTTAGTGTCTACAGGAGTGATGAATCACTAAATTAGACAAATCAGCTGTGTTTCATGATGTAAAACATGCAGGAAACGTGCAGGAAGCTGACTGCAGCGCCAGGTATGCCAGCTCATTTTGTTTCTAAGTCCCAACAGAACTCTGAAGTTGCAAATGCCGTATTCTGGCTACAGAGGGCAGTGGGGTACTGAGTGACATTTCATTACCCCCTGTAATCCAGTTCCAGTCCTGGAGGGCCGGTATCCAGCACGTTTTAGTTTTAACCCCGCTTCAACACACCTGATTTCAATCAGCAGGTGATTAATACGCTTCTGCAGAGCCCGACGAGCTGCTGCACAGGTGACTCAACCACTGAATCAAGTGTGTTGGAGCAGAGAAACCACTAAAACCTGCCGGACACTGGCCGTCCAGAACTGGAATGTAATACCCCAGCTGTAAAGTGTCATCCTGGCTCAGTAAAAGATTTAAATATATGAACAAGTTAAATAGAAAGGCTTTAAAACTACTTTCCCCCAATTTAAATTAACTTTACTCAAAGCCAGCATTGATCTCATGTACTTTTTAATGCACATTCTTATAAATAAGAATAATACATGTATTACCTTTAGGGATAAATTAAGTCATCCAGTATTTTACAAAGTTCGCTGTCTCAAAGTGTATACATTTGTAAACTTATGTCCTCAGTTTTCAGCTGCGAAGTTTGTTATATATTTTAACGGCGGGGCGCTCTGTTTTTGTTTCAGACCTTAAAATAAATGTTACTGAGAATGAAACAACAGCACGTGGCTGATAGGGAGTTACAACCCCCAGCGACTGGCTTAGGTTCACGTATAAAGAGAAATAAGAAGAGAATGCTGTAGATTCTGAGGACAGCAAATAATCAATGCTGAGCTGCAGAGCCAAACAGCAAGTCAATAAAGACCTAAGCAGACTGCATGAATGTATACCAACATCCTGCACAAACGCATCAGGTAACACTTTATAGCTTTAATAGTGACCACAGTCGCTGCTATGTTCAGGTGCCCCAAATACGCGTCCAGTTCACTAAAGCATTAGAAATGTAGCTATAGAGTGTTGTGTTGAGCATGCACACAAGTCATTTTTCCCTAAAGACTTAAGTCAGGCCTTAAGTCCTTCAGAAACCAACCCAAATCAGGTTTCAAGTCATTAAAAGACAAGTGCTAGTCAATAATACTTTTTTAATGAGTAGGGCCGAGTCAAGTCTAAAGTTTTTCATCTCTAAAGTGTAGATCACTCGTTTAATCAATACATTTGCAGTGGTATCTAGAAGAAATCAATGCCTTGCAGGCAAAACTCAGGGGTTTGTGGGCTTTTTTCCCCTATCTCAGCAGGCCAAGTCTGTGGCATCACAGCTGAGCTTCACACGACAGAATTTTGAGTCTTATTTCCTGATATCTGGACATCTCGCCCCGGATTGGATAACAGCAACACGACTCTACCACGTGAATGTGTTATGCTCGCAAATAACACAAGCCTGGAGGAGCTCTACTGTGTTGTGAAGTTGCTAATGCTAACAGTTAGCTTGAACTAGCCAAGATGTCCACTGTTGATTCTTAGTCGTTAAACCAACAAACATCCTTCCGCGTATTGAGTCAAGATCAGTGAGTCCATCAATGCTAATTCACGATGTGGCGTAGATCTGTGAGGATTTTCAAATCGGAACTCAGAACTGAATGCAGGAGGTAGGTGTAGGAGACTATTTTCATGTTCAGCCTGCATGAAAAACTCTGTTTTCAAGCAAGTCTCTGACTCAAGTCCCCATCTCTGGAACCAGATCACATGTCCACAGAGGTCCACACATTGTTTTTGGCTTTTGCACGTTAAAACATCGATTAGCTAACATAGTCACAGACATGCAGCACAGAACAAGAGCAAAGAGCTACAGAACAAGAGACACATGCAAAAAGTCATAAAGAACAGAACCAGTGAAGCGGTACGCTATACTAACCTCTTAATTCTTCTGAATTGTCTACTTTGTTGTCTACATCAAAAACACGGTCATGTACGCCTATAGTTTTCACACAGCCATCTAAAACAGAAAATAGGGAGAGTAAGAATTCATCACAGGTGTGTGCAAAATAGGTTAGTGACAGGTTCCCCCTCCCCCCACCTGAGCCCCTCAGGTTTCACACTCAAAGCAGCAAAGCTAATAGCAACAGTTGGATGAGTTTAAATGGTGGGGTCCATCATCCTTTTTGTGTTTATTACAAAAAAAAGTCTATCTTGGCAAATAAGGGCATGTCTGTGGTAAATAAACAAAGCATTTTTGGACAAAGAACAAAAGATAAATCAGGAGAGTGAGGAAATCTAACAATTATTCTTAATCTGTTTGGATTTACAAGCTAAACGTGTACTTCAACAAGCTCCGTTACAAAGCCCCGTTTAGCATGCGAACACTTACTTGATGGTCGGACGAAAACTTTGAGCTTCAGGCATGTTTTCCTCCCGTTTTCTGCGATGGTGGATGCTGTGAGAATGGAACAGAGACAGGTGGAGATGATTGGAGTTGAATTAATAGGACGATTATTGTATTTGCACTAAACTATCACAAATGTCTATAGCTGGCTTCATCTTTCATCGTGTGAAGGATTGCTGTCATAAATGCTGCGTAATGAGTGTGTTCTTGCAGACAGCAGTTTGACAAAATGTGCTTTTATTCAGGAAACAAACTTTTTAAGACAGATACTCGTGAGTAGATTATGTGGAGTTAGTCATGATTCTTGTGGAGTTATACCTCGAAAGTGTTTACAGATGTGCAAAGAGAAATCTAGGGAAAAGTCGAGTGCTCTGCTCGCACCGCTTTAGATTCTGCAACAGGCAGCGGCTCAACAGGGATCAAGGTATTTGCATAATTTGGTCTTGTTTAAAACTAGCAGAGACCATTTTGGCATACTTTGTATGTATACGGAGATGTTATTCCCTCCATGAAAAACCTCAGCGACTCAGGGTCCACACACAGACGATATACGTGCTGCATGTGTGGACGGTCTGCGGTCGCTCTCAGGAAATGGATCTCTTCCTGTCATGTCCACGGGGTGTGAATCTCTGAACGTTAGAGGTTGTATCACATCCACTAAAAAGATCTCAAGTGGCGTACATGTGCGTCCGTGTGTGTGTGTGTGTGAGAGAGAGTGGTTGACCACTAATGGTGTTGTGGTGAGGCACCAGGTGCTGTCTACTCCAGACGAGGATAGGGGTCAAACACATGCCAGTTAGAGAGCGGTGGGTGAGAGTTACAGAGTACCGTATCTTTAAATTACAGGATGCCCTCCTAGGGACAGGACCTCGTACCGAATGGAGAAAATTGAAGGGTTTTTCCACCATTGTGATGCATTAATGCTGGTTTTGGTTTCGGTATTTTCTGTTCATTTTGATGCAACGTGGTTAGGTGTCTCCAACGGCTACCATTTAACAATGTCTCAGATCTTCTCTCAAGCCTTTACCTCACATCTTTCCAGCTAGAGAGAGAGAGAGTGTGAGGGACAGAGAGAGAGAGTGAGGGACAGAGAGAGAGAGAGAGACAGGGAAAGAGAGAGAGAGGGAGAGAGAGTGAGGGACAGAGAGAGAGAGTGAGAGTGAGAGAGACAGGGACAGAGAGAGAGACTGAGTGAGTGAGAGTGAGAGAGACAGGGAAAGAGAGAGAGAGTGAGTGAGTGAGAGTGAGAGAGACAGGGAAAGAGAGAGAGGGAGAGAGAGAGTGAGGGACAGAGAGAGAGAGAGAGAGGGGGAAAGAGAGAGAGAGAGTGAGTGAGGGACAGAGAGATAGAGAGAGAGAGAGAGGGACAGAGAGAGTGAGTGAGGGACAGAGAGATAGAGAGAGTGAGTGAGGGACAGAGAGATAGAGAGAGAGAGAGGGAGAGAGAGACAGGGAAAGAGAGTGAGGGACAGAGAGAGAGAGAGTGTGTGTGAGTGAGTGAAACAGGGAAAGAGAGAGAGAAGGAGAGTGAGTGAGACAGGGAAAGAGAAAGAGAGGGAGAGGGAGAGAGACAGGGAAAGAGAGAGAGAGAGGGAGAGAGAGAGAGAGAGTGTGAGTGAGTGAGAGAGACAGGGAAAGAGAGAGGGAGTGAGGGAAAGAGAGAGAGAGAGACAGGGAAAGAGAAAGAGGGAGAGAGACAGGGAAAGAGAGAGAGAGAGGGAGAGAGAGAGAGTGTGAGTGAGTGAGAGAGACAGGGAAAGAGAAAGAGGGAGAGAGAGAGTGTGTGAGTGAGTGAGAGAGACAGGGAAAGAGAGAGAGGGAGAGAGAGAGGGAGGGACAGAGAGAGAGAGAGGGAAAGAGAGAGAGAGAGTGTGTGTGTGAGTGAGACAGGGAAAGAGAGAGAGAGTGTGAGTGAGTGAGAGAGACAGGGAAAGAGAGGGGGAGTGAGGGAAAGAGACAGGGAAAGGGAAAGAGAAAGAGGGAGAGGGAGAGAGACAGGGAAAGAGAGAGAGAGAGTGTGTGAGTGAGTGAGACAGGGAAAGAGAGAGAGAGGGAGAGAGAGAGTGAGGGACAGAGAGAGAGAGAGAGAGGGACAGAGAGAGAGACAGAGAGATAGAGAGAGAGGGGGAAAGAGAGAGAGAGAGAGAGTGAGTGAGGGACAGAGAGGGACAGAGAGAGAGAGAGTGAGAGAGACAGGGAAAGAGAGTGAGGGACAGAGAGAGAGAGAGTGTGTGTGAGTGAGTGAGACAGGGAAAGAGAGAGAGAAGGAGAGTGAGTGAGACAGGGAAAGAGAAAGAGAGGGAGAGGGAGAGAGACAGGGAAAGAGAGAGAGAGAGGGAGAGAGAGAGAGAGAGAGTGTGTGAGTGAGTGAGAGAGAAAGGGAAAGAGGGAAAGAGAGAGAGAGAGAGAGAGTGAGTGAGAGAGACAGGGAAAGAGAAAGAGGGAGAGGGAGAGAGACAGGGAAAGAGAGAGAGAGAGTGAGTGAGTGAGAGAGACAGGGAAAGGGAAAGAGAAAGAGGGAGAGTGAGAGAGACAGGGAAAGAGAGAGAGAGGGAGAGAGACAGAGAGAGAGAGAGGGAAAGAGAGAGAGAGTGTGTGTGAGTGAGTGAGACAGGGAAAGAGAGAGAGAGTGATTGAGTGAGAGAGACATGGAAAGAGAGGGGGAGTGAGGGAAAGAGACAGAGAGAGAGTGAGTGAGTGAGAGAGACAGGGAAAGGGAAAGAGAAAGAGGGAGAGGGAGAGAGACAGGGAAAGAGAGAGAGAGAGTGTGTGAGTGAGTGAGAGAGACAGAGAAAGAGAGAGAGAGGGAGAGAGAGAGTGAGGGACAGAGAGAGAGAGAGTGTGTGTGTGAGTGAGTGAGACAGGGAAAGAGAGAGAGAGAGAGTGAGTGAGTGAGAGAGACAGGGAAAGAGAGAGGGAGAGAGAGAGTGAGGGACAGGGAAAGAGAGAGAGAAGGAGAGTGAGAGAGGGGGAAAGAGAAAGAGAGGGAGAGTGAGAGAGACAGGGAGAGAGAGAGAGAAAGAGAGACAGAGAGAGAGACAGTGAGGGACAGAGAGAGAGAGAGAGGGAGAGTGAGGGACAGAGAGAGAGAGAGACAGGGAAAGAGAGAGAGAAGGAGAAAGAGAGGGAGAGTGAGAGAGACAGGGAAAGAGAGAGAGTGAGAGATGGAGAGAGAGTGAGACAGGGGGGGGGAGAGGGAGAGAGAGAGAGTGAGGGACAGAGTGTGTGAGTGAGTGAGAGAGACAGGGAAAGAGGGAGAGAGAGAGGGAAAGAGTGTGTGAGTGAGTGAGTGAGACAGGGAAAGAGAGAGAGAGAGAGTGTGTGAGTGAGTGAGAGAGACAGGGAAAGAGAGAGAGAGGGAGAGAGAGAGTGAGGGAGAGAGAGATGGAGAGAGAGTGAGACAGGGAAAGAGAGAGAGAGAGAGTGTGTGAGTGAGTGAGTGAGAAAGGAAAATAGAAAGAGAGGGAGAGGGAGAGAGACAGGGAAAGAGAGAGAGAGTGTGAGTGAGTGAGAGAGACAGGGAAAGAGAGAGAGAGGGAGGGAAAGAGAGAGAGAGAGAGTGTGTGAGACAGGGAAAGAGAGGGAAAGAGAGAGAGAGGGAGAGTGAGGGACAGAAAGAGAGAGAGAAGGGGAAAGAGAAAGAGAGGGAGAGTGAGAGAGACAGGGAAAGAGAGAGAGTGAGAGAGAGAAAGAGAGAGAGAGAGATGGAGAGAGAGTGAGACGGGGGGGGGGGGAGAGAGAGTGAGGGACAGAGAGAGAGGGACAGAGTGTGTGAGTGAGTGAGAGAGACAGGGAAAGGGAAAGAGAAAGAGGGAGAGAGACAGGGAAAGAGAGAGAGAGTGAGGGACAGAGAGAGAGAGTGAGGGACAGAGAGAGAGTGTGTGTGTGTGAGTGAGTGAGAGAGAGAGAGTGAGGGACAGAGAGAGAGAGGGACAGAGAGAGAGAGTGTGTGTGAGTGAGTGAGACAGGGAAAGAGGGAGAGAGAGAGGGAAAGAGAGAGAGTGTGTGAGTGAGTGAGTGAGTGAGACAGGGAAAGGGAAAGAGGAAGAGGGAGAGGGAGAGAGACAGGGAAAGAGAGAGAGTGTGTGAGTGAGTGAGAGAGACAGGGAAAGAGAGAGAGAGGGAGAGAGAGAGGGAAAGAGAGAGAGAGAGAGAGTGTGTGAGTGAGTGAGAGAGACAGGGAGAGAGAGTGAGTGAGTGAGAGAGACAGGGAAAGGGAAAGAGAAAGAGGGAGAGGGAGAGAGACAGTGTGTGAGTGAGTGAGAGAGACAGGGAGAGAGAGAGTGAGGGACAGAGAGGGAAAGAGAGAGAGAGAGTGTGTGTGTGAGTGAGTGAGACAGGGAAAGAGAGAGAGAGAGAGTGAGTGAGTGAGAGAGACAGGGAAAGAGAGAGAGAGGGAAAGAGAAAGAGAGGGAGGGAAAGAGAGAGAGGGGGAAAGAGAAAGAGAGGGAGAGTGAGAGAGACAGGGAAAGAGAGAGAGAGAGTGTGTGAGTGAGTGAGAGAGACAGGGAAAGAGAGAGAGAGGGAGAGAGAGAGTGAGGGACAGAGAGAGAGAGTGTGTGTGTGAGTGAGTGAGACAGGGAAAGAGAGAGAGAGAGAGTGTGTGAGTGAGTGAGAGAGACAGGGAAAGAGAGAGAGAGGGAAAGAGAGAGAGAGAGTGTGTGTGTGAGTGAGTGAGACAGGGAAAGAGAGAGAGAGAGAGAGTGTGAGTGAGTGAGAGAGACAGGGAAAGAGAGAGAGAGAGTGTGTGTGTGAGTGAGTGAGACAGGGAAAGAGAGAGAGAGAGAGAGTGAGGGACAGAGAGAGAGAGAGGGAAAGAGAGAGAGAGGGAGAGTGAGGGACAGAGAGAGAGAAGGAGAGTGAGAGAGAGAGAGAGAGAGTGAGTGAGGGACAGAGAGATAGAGAGAGTGAGTGAGGGACAGAGAGATAGAGAGAGAGAGAGAGGGAGAGAGAGACAGGGAAAGAGAGTGAGGGACAGAGAGAGAGAGAGTGTGTGTGAGTGAGTGAGACAGGGAAAGAGAGAGAGAAGGAGAGTGAGTGAGACAGGGAAA